TGGTCAACACAATCTTAAGAAGTAATCAAGTGATATACTTGAAGACAAATTTTGTGTTTCCTATCTGGTGGTATAGCTTTCTGTATGTGATGGTTACAAATTTCAATGACATAAACCCTGTCAACTGATTTGTCTCATTCCCCAGCTGTACCAGTTACACTTCTTTTTAAAATTTTTTTAAATTGTATTTCTACAATATGTGAGTATTTCGCCTGCATGTATGCAAATGCACTTCGACACTCAATGCTTGTGCAGAATAGGGCATTGGATCCCCTGGAACTGGAGTTAAGGATGGTTGTTAGCTGCCCAGTGTGTGCTGGGAACCAAACCTGGTCATCTGCAAGAGCAGCCAGTGCTCTTAACCACTAAACCATCTCTCCAGCCCCCTAAGCAAACTTCTTATACAACATTTTTTAAGGCAAATTATGCAATAAGATCTAATGAGTAGGAGTAGGTAAAGTGATAAATTCATCTCTCTGTAAAAATCTTAATTCATGGGGCTAGAGAAGACCCAGGTTTGAATCCCAGCACCCACATGGCAGCTAACAACTGTCCGAAACTCCAGGCCCAGGGGATCTGACAGCCTCTTCTGTCCTCTGCGGGCATTGCACGGCATGGGTGCACTTACCTATATGCAGGCAATACATGAATACACATAAAATAAAAAAATAAATAAAATTAAAAAAAATAGCACTAAGAAAAAAACATTCTAAAATATTTCAATTAATAAAACATTCTAAAATATTTCAATTAATAACATTTTCAGTATTAGAATCTTGAAAAGCATAACATTCACAAAAATTGAAATGAGGAAACAGTATTTATTAAATCAACATGAACTGTAAACTTGATAGCCTACGATTTAGCAATATTTTATCCCAACAACTAATTATGTAGGAAGTGTTATATTAAAAGTATTCTGATTTTGGAAAAGTACATGTAATAAATGTGCCTTTTTATAAAATTAAATCAGAGGGGGCTGGGGAGATGGCTCCGATTAAGAGCACTGGCTGCTCTTGCAGAGGACCTGGGTTCAATTCCCAGCACCCACATGATAGCTAACAACTGTCCATAACTCCTGTTCCAGGGGAATCCAACACTCTCTTTTGACCTCTGTGGGTATTTGCATGACATGGGTATACCTACATCCATGCAGACACTACACTCATACTCATAAAAAAAATAATAGTAATAAATACAGATTAAGAAAATGTTCATCATGGGACTGGAAAGATGGCTCAGTGGTTAAGAGCACTGACTGCTCTTGCAGAGGACCTGGGTTTGATTCCCAGCACCCACATGGTGGCAACAACGGTCTGTAACTCCAGTTCTGGGGGATCCAACGCCCTCTTCTGACCTCTGCAGGCATTGCACAGCACAGGTGCACTAACACACATGCAGGTAATATATTCATACATCTATAATAAAAATAATAACATTAAAAAAAGAAAATGTTCATCATATTTGGAAGCAAAAATATGAACTTCAGAAGCTTGCTTTTGTAAAACAAAATGATCACTGTGGTAAATGTTTATTCCCTTATAATTTTCTTCTTCTTAAATCTATTAAAAACTCTAAACATATCATAAAAACAATAAAAAATATATTGTACTCCATAAGCTATATACAATCTAGAGCCCTTCAAAATTAAACAGAGAATAGCAATTAGCTTGGCCTTACACAGTAGCTCACTAACTGTAAGCCATTCTGTAGAAATCCAGGAAAATGAAAATTATGTTTCAATACAATAGTAAACACTTCTACATGGAAATGATGAGGAAAAGTGTGATTCAGTGGGAGGTGTAGAATCAGAAGTAATGTGATCAAATTTTGACAAATTTTAATGTGAGAGTTACTTGGGGGAGGTAGCAGATAGGTCGAAGTAACAGATACAGCAGTAAGTGCCAAGGACAGGTACCTGTTGCACAAGAAAAACAGAAAATAGCTCAAAGCTTCTTTTTAAAAATTAAAGTCAAAGCATAAACACGCAAGAATACGTATAAAAAGTATGTGCAGAGGCAGGTGGATCTCTGTGAGTTCAAGGCCAGCCTGGTCTACATGGTGAGTTCCAGGACAGCTGGGGCTATAGGGAGACCCTCTCAAAAAGACCAAAAAAAAAAAAAAAAAAAAAAAAAAAAAAAAAAAAAAAATGTGAGAGACACCAAAACATTGAAATGGAAAACTGATCATAGTCTTTGTCCATACCACACTGAACATGCCCGATTTTATCACAGAAGCTAAGCAGGTCAGGCCTGGTTACTACTTGGATGAGTAAATTGATCATAAAAATGGTACATGCTATAGTTTGATCTAGAATTTTCTCCAAAGACCTATGTGGTAAGTAAAGGCCTGCTCTTAAGTTGGAGCTATCAGAAGGTGATGGGACCTTTAAAAGGAGGGGTCCAGTGGGAAGTCTAAAGTCCTTGAAGGCATGCCCTTGAAGGTAACTGGGGCACCCTGTTGTCTTCCTCTTTCTCTTTACTCACCTGCCATTAGGTAAGTGGTTTTGCTCTACCATAAGCTGCCTCAACACAGGCCCCAAAGCAATGGGTCTGGTGAACCATGGATTGGAGCCTCTGAACTTGTAAATCAAAATAAACTGGTTTTCTTCATAAGTATATTAGTTCAGATATGTTAGGATAACGGAAAGCTAACACAGTATCCAGCTCAGGAAACTGAAACATAAGCCGAAAGTAGAAGAGTGTAAGAACTCATTCAAACAGAGACAAGAGAAACTGAGGAACTGAAGGCATTAAATACCTTTGGGAATGAGACTCAGGACAAGGATTGAACAAGTAGCCTGGTTAAGACTTTAACAAAATTAACTAGACCTTCAGTTCTCTTCCTCACCACAAGGCCACTGTCATCCACTCTCTCCAACACAGCAGAAAACTAGAATTTTACTGTGTACATAAGGTCAATGCGGTTTGAATTCAAGAACACCAGCCACCATGTTGAGGGCTAGAACGATCGGTGTACTAAAAACTAAAGGGAAAGGGAATGTGAACACACAGCATACTGGCAGCAGCCCACATACTTACCTCCCCAGGCAGGAAAGCTGAGAATTCCCATCTGGGAAACAGATTCTAATACTCACAAATGAGGTCATTAAACAAAATGAACAACTTTACCTCATGAGGCCTCTGGTCATGTACATAATCCAAATCAGGTCATATTTTACTCAAATATGATCAAGTCATAAAATAGATAAAAGGCACCTTCATAGTAAAAGGTATGGGAGAGGGAGCCCCAGAACTCAAAAGAAGAAAAAGAAAACGTAAACAGAAAATGGGCTTGAGAGACGGCTCAGCAGTTAAGAACACCGGCTGCTCTTGTTGAGGCTACAGGTTCGAGTCCTGGCACCTACATGGTGGCTAACAATCTTTTGTAACTCCAGTTCCAGGGGATCCAATGCCCTCTTCTGATCTCCATGGGCATTGCATGACACAGGTGCACTTACATACATGCAGGCAATACACTCATACACATAAAATAAAAATAATAATTTTTTTTTAAATGTTAGGAACCAGGTGTGGTTACACACACCTTTAATCCCAGCACTCAGGAGGCAGAGACAGACAGATCTCTGTGAGGTCAAGGCCAGCCTGGTCTATATAGCAAGTTCTAAGTCAGCTGGGGCTATAGGGAGACCCTGTTTCAAAACCAAAGAACAACATAAAAAACTTTAGTAATTTAAAAAAAATATTTATTTTTATTTTATGTGTATGAGTGTATTGCCTGCATGTATGTAAGTGCACCTGTATCACGCAGTGTCCACAGAGCTCAGAAGAAGTCAAAATATCAGAGATATATTTGGCTTAAACTAGAGAAACAATTAATGATACATAAATAATGGCTCTTTACTCTTTTGGTAAACTGAATGAACTGCAGACCATTAAAGAGTCACTGATATTGGTTTAAGAACATCAAAATACGGACTGAATAAATAAAAGAACAGCTCAAAAGATACTAAATAACATTACATACCACAACTAATTTCAAAAAGGGATAAATCCCAGTGAAAACAGAACAAAAATGGCTTACATTAGAATTACTCAATACAAATGTTATCCAAGATATAAATACAGACTGCACATACAATGTTAAAAACAAAAAGAATCGAGTAAAATTTTGATATTACATACAAAACATGCAAATACATGCTGCACAAAAGCCAGCATATACAAAATATCATTTCATCATGTCATCAGTCTAAAAAAAAATTAAATTTTATATTGCTTTGTATTAAATCATCAAAATCCAGTGTGTATTCAACAGGTTACAATTTTATACTACAGAATATTACACATTTCCTGGGCTCAATAGCTACAAATGGCTACTGGCTTTTTTTTATTTTTTATTTTTTGGTCTTTTTGAGACAGGGTCTCCTTGTAGCCACAGCTGGCCTGAAACTCACTATGTAGACCAGGTTGGCCTTGAACTCACAGAGATCTAACTGCCTCTGTCTCCCAAGTGCTGGGATTAAAATGCATGAACCAAGTCGGGCTATGGCTACTGGATTTTTACACTGCTTATTATGTAACAACCCTTCTACACATTTTACATGGATTATTTCATTTAACACTTGCAGAGGAAAGTTGCCCAAGTTCTTATAGATAGTGACAGAGTCAGAAGATTCTAATTTAATCACTACAGTGCTATCCTACATCTAATCAAATTTCTTTTTCTGTATTACTGAAACGTTCAATTTAACAAACTATTACCGAGATTCTTACTGATATACATTTCTTTTAACTTAAATTTCGAGTCACATGGTGGTGAACCCCTTTAATCCCAGCACTCAGGAGGCAGAGGCAGGTGGACCTCTGAGTTCAAGGCCAGCCTGGTCTACATAGTGAGTTCCAGGACAGCTGGGGCTACAGGGAGACCCTGTCTCAAAAAAGGCCAATAATAATAATAATAATAATAATAATAATAATAATAATAATTAAAAGATTTTTTTTCCTGCTATGATTTTAAGTCTGAAAGAAAAGACTTACCATTAATATGAGTTTTTGGTACTTTTGTTTTAGGTCTGACACATCTGCAGATGGGTCTGCCCCCAGAATGCTGTACCAGTCCTTTTTAAGTATCTGCCCAAAAGCCATCACCATCCGTTGAACTAGAAGCGGGTCTCCTTCTCCGATAAGCTGCACAGGAAATGTTAAAGACAATGCATTACAGTTGCAACAAGGAAACACCGCCTTTCTAAGTTCTTTACTATTTGGGTGAGTCTATCACGGTATATGCTTATCTCTTTAATATACAATGGCATAAAAAAGAATTTGATAGTAAGCCTGAGTGAAGAATGAACTTCCAAGAAGGTATTTCTTCTAGTCCTAAGGTAAAACTGGCACATACGTACTCACGAAATTAGTATTTACAAAACTAATGGATAAAAGTAAAACAGAAATCTAGCTACATTTTAGGGCATAGCCCCTGAATTTTCCCGGTTCACATCTTTTCTTCCAGATTAAATGTAAAGACACGCGAAATAACACAAGCAGGTGGACAGCAAGAGACCCCAGCAACTGCAAAGATGCTCACACCTTGTAAAGAAACAGCTCCCGAAGCTGTCACTCGAGGGTGACACAGTCCTCCCAGCCTCAGAGAACAGCCGAGCAAGATCTCCAGAAACCGGGCGCCGAGGCAGCCGTCCGTCCCAGCCTGGGGCTTGGGAACGCGCTGGCTCGCCATCAGCTCTGCGCACCCTGCCACGGGCGGGGCCACCCCCGGCTTCACACCGTGGCAGACTTACCAAACTTCCTCCGGCACCGAAACCCACTGACCGCCCTCAACCAGCCAGAACTCGGAACCCGCCTCTCCTTCCGCCGGAAGTCGGCACCCTGGAGTGTGTTTCTAGCCGAGCCTAGTTGCCCGCGCACCCATCGAAAGGGCCCCTCCTCTTGCCCGACCGCGGTCGCTATGGTAACTGGTCGCCACTTCCCTGCTTCCTTGTTTTCTCAACTGTGAGTCCCTAAGCTCGCTCTAATTTTCCTTGGCGTGGCCCGCATCTTTCCTTCTCTGCCGAGCACCTTCATCCCAGGTTCCGCCTGCCTTGCCTTGCGCTACCTTTTGGTTTGTACTGGGGGCTGGAAGTTAGTGATAAGGATGAGACATAAATTATGCCCAATCCATTTCCTTTAGACCTTAGAAACGGACTTTAAAACAAGCCAAAATGCTCATAACAATAGTGTACTTTTCCAAATTCTTTCACATTTACTATGTCTACTTCCACGTTAGCCCAGTTACACGACTGAGGAGGGTGTTACTGTAGCTACTTTGTAGATGAGGAAACAAACCAAGGACCTAGGCCAGCGGTGCAGCTGCAGAAGCAGAACTCTTAGCAGGTTTACAGATTCCCAGAACAGTGGGTCAGAAAAAGCAAAATGAACGGTTCCCTTGTGAATCATTTAGGGCGCTCTCCAAATGGGTACTTTTGACTTTGCTGTTAGTTTTTTCTCTCGTCTCCCTTTCTTTGGCACTTTTATTGCTTCTTTCTTTTACTTACTCTGCCTTGATTTCTCTTCCTTACTGGTTTACCTGGAGGTGAGCAGCACATCTTTGTTTTGGCAACATGATATGATTTCACTTGGGGATGTTAAAGTGATTTTGTTATTACTACTTCCTGAGATATACGTCCACTTTCATCTTCTGCCAATATCAGTTTAAGAAGCACTGAAGGTAAATTTAAACAGAATAAATGAAACTTTCAATTGTTTAATGAATGGTTCAAATGTTTAATGATACAGTGACTTAAAATCTAAATATAAAAGCATGGATTAGTTTCTCCACTGAATTTTGTCATGTTTAAAGCAAAGAACATTATATGGACAGTGACAGGATCTAGTTTTAGTCATGAATCCAGAAAACCATTTGTGCGGGCCTACCAAAGTGTCTAAAGCATCAGAATTAAGAATTGTGAATCTCTTCCTATACAATATTATAAGAAGAAGGTCCTCTTGAACATCTCCAGCCCTTGAAGAACCCTCTGTCTACTACTTGGTTCTCCTAAGATATGTTCAAGAAATCCAGTTTTTAGAGTAAATGTGTTTTATTTAGACATATATCCAATTAGGCTATTGTGTTATCTCTTTGATTCTATCCATTTATTTGGTACTTTCAATTTTCCTCCTACAAATCCCAAATGTTTGGCCATTTCGTCTCTAAGTAGTTTCATCTCTAAAAGCATGCCAGCTTTTTAAAAAATTTCTATGGTGTCTTTACTCAAAAAAATTGTCATATTTCATTGATCATCTAATACATGAAGCTTCTTTAAGTTTTTCTGGTTATTTTAAGTATCTTTTATCAATCGCCTTATCACCTTTTTTGTTGTGATTAGTTATTGAAAAAATGTAGATCAGTTGTCTTATAATTGAAATCTATACTTGAATAAACTCCTTAAAACAATTGTGACATAGAGCCCCATTCATTAATCTTCCTTTATGTTTCATTATCTAGAGTGACATTATTATCCAATACAATTAAAGTAAGCCACAAGTGCAAGCTACATGTGTGGTTTTTAAATACTTAACACAATGTATTTAGAATATTATCATTCTAAAATGTACTCATTAAAAGAGGTTTCTCTTCCAGTCCTCCCCCTCTACTATGTGTGACCTTGTTGTGTAGCTATTTCCTCTGAGATTAAACCTTTTATCTTGGAGGGAATCCTGTTAAGATATAGGATATTCTAGGGCTGGAAAGATTACTTGGTGGTTAAGAGCATATACTGCTCTTCCAGAGGACCTGAGTTTTCTATTCCCAGCACCCATGATTGGCTGATTACAGCAACCTGTAACTTCAGCACTGCATTCATGTGCACAAACCCACACGTATGCACATAATTTTTTAAAAATTAAAAAAAAGAAGCCATAGGATATTCTAAAGGGAGGTGATGCATTCCATCCTTCAGGGAAGGTCACTAAGCTCAAGAAGTGAGCAATTCAAAGGCTCCAGGAAGTCCCTGAAACTGACCACATCCTAGGCTGGTCCATCCTCAAACACATATAAGCAGGAAGGACTGTGGAGAGACACTCTCAGACAAACCAAGCTGCTTAGAAGAGGTTCAAACCAGTTGAGCTGCTGGAAAATCATAAACCAGTTGAGCTCCCTCGAAAGGCTCAGATCAACTGAGCTGCCTGGAAAAGACATTCTCCAACCTGCTCAGTGCCTGCAGGTTGTGCAGTGTATTACAAGTTTCCAGTTTTGTGAACCATCATGCATGCCATGTGGGGCTTTTGATGAAGCAGCTGTCTTTGAGTAATTTCTAATACTGTAAGATACCCCTGAACCTATTCTCCTGTCAGTAACCCCAATAAAACTTATTGGTTCACCAAGTTTGACTTTGGTGGTATACTTTGGTCTGTCGTTGGTTCCCTATCTAGGGTGAGTAGACCTTTGTTTGTGTCTCCCCAAGAACAGTGTCACACAACAGACCCAAGGATCAAATTCAGGTCATCAGACTTGATGGAAAGTTTGTTTACCTGCTGAGCCATCTTGCCAGCTCTCAAGTATTAACTCTTCACCCTGGCATTAATTTAGCTTCCCAATGTCATCCTTAGCTGTCCAGCCTCATCACATATCACCTCCATAATGAGTTTAGACATTTAGATCTTTTCTTGGTGCCTTGGCCATAATCTCATAAGACTTGAATTCTTTTTCTCCTTTCAGTTTTTTCCTTCCTTTAAAGCCTACATCTTCCAGCAGGGCATGGTGGTCTATGTCCTTAATCCCAATACGCAGGAGGCAAAGACAGGCATATCTCTGAGAGATCAAGGCCAGCCTGGGCCACATAGCAAGTTCCAGGCCAGCTAGGGCAACAAGAAGACCTTGTCTCAAAGCAACCAAACAAACAAACAACCTACCAATCAACCAACCACCAACAACAGAAACACAAAATAAACAACAAAACAAAGTAAGTTTACATCTTCCATTAAGCCTTCTATGATGGCTCAGTCCTTAGAATTTACTTTTTAAATTTTTTATTGAATTTTTATGTATTTCAACAGAATATCTTAATCAATTTTATACGCCTCTCCCCTTTGGCACTCGCCCATAGCTCCCCCCTCCCCACCAGAATTCATACATTCTGTCATTTGTGTTAAGGCCTATCATATCAAGTTAGTGTCTCCAGACATCCCTCAGTGCACGTTCATCCACTGAGGTCTAGTAAGCCTATCTAGAGTCCCTCCCTTTAGAAGATCAACTCTTCCTTACCCAGCAGTAATCAGCTGCCCAATAGTTCTTCAACAAAGATTAGGGTCCAGTGTATATTTCCAAAGTTCTGTGCTGGGTTTTTGTCTGCTTGAGTTTGCACAAGTGTTGTGCATGCTGACATCATTGCTGTAGGTTCATATGAGAAAGGTCCCAGGAGTCTGTAGGACTCTATTTCCATATGGTCATGTACCTCCTTCCTGACTTTTACCATCTTTCTGCCCCCTCTTTTGCAGTGGTCCCTAAGCCCTGGGTGGGTGGATTTTAATATAGGAGTCCTGTCCAAGGTTCCACACTCTGTAGACCCTTACTCTGATTGTCCACATTTTGGCCATTTGTGGCCTTTTGTGTTCCTGGCCCTCTGTTGCATGAAGAAGCTTCATTATGAGAACTGAACTGCATTAGTGTTCTCTTCATTCCTTGTTCTGTGTTCTGTGAGTCTTAGGTGTAGAGCTTGCGTCGTAGATGAGCCACTTCGGCTTAGGTACTTCGTAGACAAGCTCTGTGTATGACTAGTTGTGGAACTCTGTACTAATCTTTCTCTGTAGAAAAAGAAGCTTCTTTGAAGGCTAGTGACTGGGATACTTGTCTATAAATTTAAGGATCCATATTTTGTGCATAGTAAGAAATTACATTTGTCTACAGATGTGACTGCCTCAGGGTCTTCTCTAAGATCTATGACCGCCCAGCTATGTGTATTCGGTTATGTTTACAGTACCACACATGAGCTTCCTCCTATTGAGTGGGCTTTAAGTCCAATTATGTAGCTGTTGATTACCCCTAAGATAAAAGTGCCAGTACTGAACCAATTTTGTTTGCTATGCTGGTCATTGATGTGGTTATTAGGCCTTGAAGCTGGGGTTGTACCATCAATTAATGTTCTCCCTTAGCAGCTTGATTAATACGCTTCAAAGATATGAGAGCTAACCCTCAGGGGAGGTGGCTTCCAGGTCAGTTCCAGCTCTATTGCAAAAAAAGCCTGTGTCCAAAGTATGTCTTGTCTTCAGCAATAGAATCTTACCTTCAAGTTCTGGGAAGAAGTCAAGGGCTGTGGCATTAGCCTGTGTAATTTTGGGAGCCTCTTGGGCTACCCTGGCCAACAATTCCAATGAAGCTTTCTCCTGTTTGGCACTGTTTGTTATTATGTAACCTTCAGCTGTATACATGGACTCATGTAGAGATACTGTATGTGTAATTTTACAGTGGATTTTTGGACTAGTATGATTCCCTCTGGTTTTTTTATACCAGCTAGACATTATTTCTCCCTCCCTTTCTAACCCTCCTTCCATGCCATCCCCATTTAAAGTATCCCCATTTTCTCCCTTGATAGTTCCTGTCTGCTGTGGTCCCAGCTCTCTTGAGCTCCTTCTTCCTCTTTATCCCTATGGTTCCCCTCCTATTTAAATAGCCCCATTTTACACATTTCTCCCTTAATAACACCTAGTCTTTGCTCTCAGGTTCCTTCTTTCCCTTCACCTCCCTGGTTACTTTCCATTTTCCTGGTTCCTACTGTTACATCAGGGTACATACTCACATATCAGGATTTGGTGCTAGGATCCACAAATGAGGGCGAACATCTGTCATTTGCTTTTCTAAGTCTGTGTTACTTCACAGTTTCTAGTTCCATCCATTTACCTGAAAATTTCATGATTTCATCTCTCTTTGTAGCTGAGTAGACCTCCATTGTGTAAATGTACCACATTTTCATTATCCAGTTGTCAGTTGAGGGACACTTAGTTTGCTTCCTTCTCTTAGCTATTGTGAAAAGATCAACAACAAACATGGATGTTCAAGTATCTGCAATAGGATGAGTCCTTTGTGTATATGCTGAGGAGTGGTATAACTGGGTCATATGGTAGGTTCATTTTTATTGTTTTAAGAGTTCTCCATGCTGCTTTCCATAGGGGTTGCATGAGTTTGCATTCCCCTTTCTCCACATCCTAGCTAGCATTTCGTATCATTTGTTCTCTCGATGTTAGCCAGTCTGACTAGCATAAGATGAAATTTTAAGGTGGTTTTAATTTGCATTTCCCTAACTACTAACGATAGTGAACACTTTTTAACATGTTTCTTAGCCATCTTTATTTCTTCTTTTTAGAACTCTCAATTTAGGTATTTAGCCCATCTTTTAACTGGGTCATTTGCTTTCTTGCTTGTTCGTTTTTTGAGTTCTTTATATATTCTAGATGTTAAACCGCTCTCAGATGTGTTGCTCGTGAAGATTTTCTCCCACTGTGTGGGTTTTCTCTTCACTTTCTTGATTGTTTCTTTTGCTATACAGAAGCTTTTTAGTTTAATGAAGTCTCACTTGTTGATTCTTGACCTTAGTTCCTGAGCAACTGATGTCAGATTTAGAAAGACCTTTCCTATACCTATATCTTGTAGATTACTGCCAGTGTTTTCTTCTAACAGTTTCAGAGTTTCACATTTCACATTGAGGTCTTTGATCTATTTGGAGTTGACTTTTATGCAAGGTGAAAGATAAGAGTCTATTTTCATTCTTCTACAGTTGGATATCCAGTTTTACCAGCACCATTTGCTAAAGATGCTGTCTTTCCTCCAGTGAATGTTCTTGGCACCTTTATCAAACATCAGGTGACTGAAATTGCATATACCCATCATGTTTGGGTCTTCAATTATGTTCCATTGATATATGTGTCTATTCTTGTACCAGTACCATGCTGTTTGTATGACTATAGCTCTGAAGTATAGTTTGAGATCTGGTATAGTAATTCCCCCAGAATTGCTCTTTGTGCTCACGGTTGCTTTGACTATCTGGGGACTTTTGCGTCTCAATATGAATTAGGATGGTTTTTCTAATTCTGTGAAGTATGTCATCAGCAGTTTGATTGGGATTGCATTGAATATTGCTTTTGTTAGGATGGCCATTTTCACAATATTGTTTTAATCTATGAGT